TTAGAAGCCAATTTCTTAACTCCCATCACCACCTCCACAATACCACCAAAACAAACTATTTAGGGCAAGGGTTCAACTTCAGCCCCACAACTCTCAATGTCAACATAAAACCCTGTTATCGTACCTCGTCACCCTTCTCTTTGTTCATTACTTCTCTATGCTCATTAGGTTAGCCAGTCTGGGAAGCTTGCTGTACCCAAAGGGAACCCCCGCACTGTCTAGGGACAGGTGGTTTAAATAGTAAAGGTGAGTTGATAAAGCCCAGAACCCTCAATCAGAAGCCAAGGTGGGACCATACCTTTAGAACTCTATTGCTTCTTGCCAAGATTCCAGTTTTGTTTGATGTTTAGGAAGGATTGAAAAAGTGCTATGTCACCATTTCTATAAACTCAATACCTAGCAAAGTACATGTCACGTCATAGAATAATTTAATCAATGCTGGTTGAAGGTGTTTATTTCAAGATTGAAAGCAGTAACTCACTAGGAAAAAAAAAAGCTGCTGTCAAGTCGATTGTGACTCCTGGTGACCCCATGTATGCAGAGCAGAACTGCTCTATGTTGTTTGCTGTCGAATCCATTCCAACTCATAGCAACCCTACAGGAGAGAGTAGAACTGCCCCATAGGGTTTTCTAGGCTGTAATCTTCATGAAGCAGCTCACCAGGTCTTTTCTTCAGTGGGACAGCTGGTGGTTTTGAACCACCGACCTTTTGGTTAGCAGCTGAGCGCTTAACCACTGCGCCACCAAGGCTCCTTAGGTTGCTAAAAAGTGGTGGCCAAAAGAAAACACGCAGCGATCCAGGTTGCCAGAAACCAGAAAGAAGGAAGGGGAGAAAAACTGTAAAATGGAAAAATAGAGAAATACTTAAAGCAAAATTTGAATGAGCATGACCTTGGATAGGGTCTACGAACTGGAATCACAAGCAGCCTCCCCAAAGCACGGAGCATCAGTGAGAAGCTCTACACAAGCTCTTTATTTCCTCCCATTCTGTCTTCTTGGGTTCTTTCAGGAGGAAGCTGCTTGCTACAGACAGTTGCTTGCATTTGCTGATCAATAGATCAAGGAACAGTCAGAGGAGACGGGACATCTAGGAAGGGATAGCGCTGGCACTGACGAACGCGGACGGGGCCAATGCAAATACGGTGTTCAATTAGCATTTTTGCGGACCTAGCGATTTCGGAAAACTATCTTTGAGTCAAAGCATAGGCAGGGAGCCTCTGCCTCCATTTCTAGAGATATGTAACACTACAGCCTCCTGCTCTTCAACCTGCCCCACTCAAGTTCAGTTTTCCTCCCTTCTTCCTGCCAACCATACTATCCTCCTTCAGCCCAGCTTGCTCCTCTGCTCGTGCTGGGCTTTTAATCTTACTCTAATATATGCCGTCAGGTGAGCCCCTACTATATGCTATTTAAAAAATCTTGTTTTAACTATTTCTTTTTCTGTCTTAAGGCTTTCTCTCCCCTTCTTTCTGGTTTCTGATGACCAGACACCATCACCAGAAACCAGATAGCTGGATAGCTGCATGGTTGTTTGTTTTTGGGTTTTGTTTTATTTTGTTTTGTTTTGTTTTGTTTTGTTTTGTTTTGTTTTGAGAGGGCAGAGGAGGCTTCTACATTTTAGCAAAGGAGCCCTGGTGGTGCAACAGTTAAGTGCTTGGCTGCTAAACTAGACGTTGTCAGTTCAAACCCACCCAGCAGCTCCGTGGGAGAAAGAGCTGGTGATCTGCTCCCATAAAGATTGCAGCCTGGAAAACCCTATGGGGAAGTTCTACTCCGTAACACATCAGGTCGCTATGAGTCAAAAATTGACTCCATGGCACCCAGCGACAACTTTTTCACAAGTTAGTGCTTTAAATGTTGAAATAAACACCTTCAACCAATACGAGGAGTTCTTAGGTGGTGCAAACCGTTGAGCACTGGGCTACTAACTGAAAGGTTGGCTGGCAATTCGAGTCCACCCAGAGGTGCTTTAGAAAAAAGGCCTGGTGACCTGCTTCTGAACAGCCACAGCCACGAAAACTCTAAGGAGCATAGTTCTACTCTGACACATATGCGGTCACCAGGAGTTGTAATCAACTCGACAGCCACTGGTCGTTTTGGTTTAACCAACATAAGATTAAATTACCCTTATGATGTGTTACATACTTTGCTAGGTATTAAGTTTATAGAAACGGTGATATGAAGAACCTACATGTCTTATTTAATTCTCACAACGAACTATTTCTTGTTTACAAATGAAATGTGTCTTATTTAATTTTCATAACAAACTATTTCTTGAAGCTCAGAGAGGTGAAGAAACCAGGTCACAGAGCTGGTAAGTGAAGGTTCTAGGATTCCATCCTAGTTCTATCCAAACTCTACACTCTTCTGGCTAAATTATTCTGTCCTTTGTAACTTTTGTTCCCTCTGTTCAATCTCACCTTCCTGCTCACCACGTTTGAGGGCGCTCTTACTTCCTAAGGAGCCCTGGTGGCATAGTGGTTAAGTGCTACAGCTGCTAACCAAAAAAGTTCAGCAGTTTGAATCCACCAGCCGCTCCACGGAAACCATTTGGGGCAGTTCTACTCCATCCTATAGGGTCGCTATGAGTCAGAATTGACTCGCCAGCAATGGGTTTGGTTTTTGGTTTTTTTTACTTCCGAAAGCCAGGTTGGGATAGCTCTCTAAGGTCCTCATTCTGACTTTTCTTCATGTGGCAGGTACTATCCCACATTTGAGAGACACAGCTTCAGTGCCTTTCCAAATAAATTTTCTCTTGAAGGTTTTGAATGGATTTTACATTCCAAATACACATACATCGGCACTTAGAAATCAAAGTCAAGCCCTTTGCCAATTTCCTCCTGAAAACTCAAGAAAAATAAGGGCAACCCCCCAAAAGGTGACCACAACATGTTTATAAAAGACTTGTTCCACCTAACTTCTCCTGTCCCATCATGGGTGTCTATTAATAATTCCAATATTCTTGAACCATTTTGCCGAGAAATTATTAATGGTATATTTATTCAAGTATGATTCACCCTTTTGCAATGTATTGACATAAACTCTGAACACAAAGAACCACGTGGAAGCCCACGGTAAGGCAAGTACTTTTACATAAGATCCTACTCACACTTACAAGAAATCCTCCTTTATTATATCTCTGTGCAATATTGCTTTTTACATTATACAATCACAAAGGACGAAAGGTTTTTTTTTGACTGAAAGCCAGCTGGGGAATAACTTGCCAAGCCAAACATCAAGTATCCATTGCCAACATTTCTAGAAAATTCTTTATGGGGAAGGAAGAGAAACTGCCTTGCAATAAACGAATGTTTTGATTTGGTGAATAATCACAATTATACGGGAAGGCACACGCCTGCACGTTTCTCCCAAAGGGCACTGAGACACTTTCCTCACCAACACTAGGTACAAAACAGGGCTCTTCAAAATTGTGTCATTGATGACGGAGCAGGAAACTGAGCCAAGTCTCCAGGTGAGACGCCTGTAATACCAGTTCCTGAAAAGGCACAGCCTGCCATCATCCGTTAGTCTTTTAGTATCGAGAAAAGGGCAGATTTTTCCAAAATCTTCGAGTTTGAAAATATTGGCCTTCTTACTCCCCACCACTCGTTCGCACACTGAGTGCCCTCATGATATTTGGAGGAGTATTTTTTTTAACTTTCCGACAATAACTCCTTCTGAAAGAAGAGTTTACTAAGTTCATTGATTCTCTTTTGGCCAGCTCACAACTCCTGAATTTGGACAGATTAAACACAGTAAAGATTTCCTATACCAATTCAGAGAACACTCCCTGAAAATTCAGAAAGCTTTGCTTAAACTCCAGGAAAAAAGAAATTCAAAAGAGAGACGAGGAAATAAATCACGTACAAGACGTAGGTCCAAAACCAAAAGGACAAGCAATTCAACTAATATATATTAGCCTTTATTATATAACAGAGACATAAATAATTTTATGAATTCATATGACCAGTACAAAAGACAAAATAAGATATTGCACTAAGTTTAGATATGGACTATCTGGATTGAATCTTAGCTAAACAAATAAATAGATACAATTTAAGAAGTTAAGGCAAAACGAGATGATACTTGAAACTCAACATAAGGTTTGAAAAATAGGTATAATTAAAAACAAGGCTATCCTGTCTTCAGTTAATAAAGTGGCCACATCTAAGGGGGGGAAAAAACCTTAGGTTTTTAATAAAATGGTTATTATCAATCATGTTAATTAAAGTTGAGCAATAAATTCTAAGATTTCCCACAGAGGAGAGCTGTTTTGCCGAGGTTTGGGGATTGAGCACTTAAAACTCAAAGAAGCAACTTTTTCTTTCTCACAATTATGATCTATTCTTCCTATTAGAAAATATTATCTGGAAAATATGACTCTTTCACATATATAATTAAAATACAACTATGAAGCATTCTTTTTTTTTTCCTTTCGGGAAGTCATGTTGGTGATCTCAAAGTAAATTTGCGGGCAAGCCATTCATTACCCGGTTTGTAGAGAAGACACAAAGCCCATCAGGAAAAACAACTCCCAGGTACCTTTAGGAGAACGAAAGAAACCCATTCCAAAGGGACGAAAACAAGTGGAGTCAATATATCAACACAGCGTACAGTTCTTTGCCAGGAACACACTAACCGTCAACTGAAGTTGGAAGTTGGAGTTCTCTAATTCTTAGACCCAGTTGCCAGTCTTGTAAAAACAAAGGAATAAAATTCCACATCAGCAACGAAGTCAGTAATTCCAGGAAACAAAATTCAGAGTAAACCTCGTAGACAGCTTTGGACTGTTACATGTGAGCGTAGATAGGTAATGTCTGCTCTGAGTCCAAGTCCAAATACACTGAAACGCACACGCACGAAAAAAGAATCGGCGAAACTTGGGACTGGTTCAAACAGCCCTAGAATCCTTAAAGAGAATCCATATTCACCCATAAGAAACCAAGAAGAAAAAGAAAAATCAATCTGATGAGGAAAAACAATGATCTTCAAATAACTCCGGGGTGGGCTGTCCCTCACTTGGATAACCGTCATGGAGAAATCAAATTCTACAGTGGGAACACCAGAAAGCCAGAGAAAGTGGAATACTGCCAGCCTCCAACCAAGTTACCTTTCTCCAGTTTCAGGTAAACTTTATCCTCCTTATCTAGGTACAGTAGGACTCCATTCGTGGCAGCCTCACGAGTAACGTCCTTGTCCCCAGCGAACGCGGATATTACTGGTTTGCCATTTAACATCAGGTTAACCTACAAGAAAAAAGTCACTAAAGAGCTCTCGTTAAAAAACACCTACAGGGATAATGAATAACATCTAAGGATGGCAGGCCTGATGTCCGTTTAATGTCCACGAAATTCCTTTCAAATTAGCTGATCGTGTTGTCTAGATTTAGTATGTCTGCTGAGCCGATTTTATTTTTTTGTTCCTCACATAGGAACTTCCTTAAATGTCTACAAAAGAATACTATCCATGGAGTGCAACCTACCCATGGGAAGAATGTCCTCCCTTCAGTACATAAATTAAACCTCCTGCTTTATTTACTTCTTCCACTCAACTGCAATCTTTCGGTTATGAAGCGAGTGTGCAGTTTACCAGGGCATTAATAAAAAAGAGCTAGTGCCCGTTGACCTGATAAACCCAGCTACATAAGATTCTGCCAAGGTCCTTTCAGGCTACTGGGAAGCTGTCACATGCCTCACCCTGAAACATCGTTTGAAATAATGAAGACTGTGTGTGCGTGTGTGCGTACTTTGCGATTTCTTTTTCTGTTTACTCTGATAAGAAATTGCATTCAAAATAATAATCACCACTCCCACTGGAGATTTTACTGTTGGGTGCTTAGCAAATAATCAACTCAAAATGTATTCATGTTTCTCCATATCACCATTTTGAGTACACTGTGTCAAACATTACACAGATTTTTAAACCATGGGGCTTAGGAAAAGCTCGCGCATGGAATTAAATGTGTTTACTAGATGCTCAGTCCTCTGAGGTTAAAAATGACATTGAATAAATCAAACCTGAGGCCAATCCATTTATCCATCACTAGAATATTAAAAAAGTGGTAGATGAGTGTGTGATCTGTCATTAACATCAGCATCATATACAACGTAAATATTGTGCAAATGATTAAAATGTTTCCTTGAGTTCCATAAACACATATTGGTGTTATTAATTAACTAATAATTGGTATTAGTATAATTAAGTATTGTAGGAACTAGCCTCATTGTTGCCCTTTACATTACAGGTAAAGCCTATTACATTAGAAGGTACAGCACAAGGTATATTAACAGTTGAATTGCAACTGGTAAGAATTCACTAGATCAGAGTGACTGAGAATAATCAACTTAAAGGATCAGCATAGCATACACTTTTTCAAAAGTATATTGACTATTTGTTCCTTCATATATCTCTCTAAAGAGTTAATTTAATCTCATGTTTGTAAACAATGATATCAAATTTATTGTATTTATTGAGTATGCATTTGTAAAGCTCTGCTAGTCTTATAATTTTTTCCTTACAAGTTCAAATCGTTTTTTGTATATGCATTAAATGAAAACAGGATCTTATAAAGAGATTTATGTGTCTAAACTTTTACTAAACCGTGTTTTTTAAATGTTTGGTTATTATTAACGTAATAACTTCAGCTAGTTATTTTTCTATATTCTTTTTGTTACACATTAATCAACATTATAAAGAAGAAAATTGGAAATCAAATGTTTTGAAATGAACAATAAAGATGGTTGTTTTCTTTTACAATGAAAATACATCTTTGAATGAATACTGAAATACGTCACCCACTACAGATGAACACAGTTGTTTGAGGGTAGAGAGAGAATCAGTCAAAACACATACCTGGATTGTCTGACTCTGGTAGACTTTAATTACGTGAAAACTGAAACTGTATATTCCTTTTCTTGGTGCCACAAAGACAGACTCCAATGTGAAAAAATTACCCACATTTACTAGGATCTACAAATGAAAATAGCAGACAACAGTAAATCATTACAATGTTCTCTTCTGTAAGCAAAATAAGTCCTGCCTTCCTTTTCCTTCCTTCCTTTCTTCTTTCCTTCCTTCCTTCTCTCTCCACAACTAGCCTAAGAAACCATAGAGAATAAGACATCTAGTTCTACTTCTTTTTTCTTTATTGACTTGGAAAATGGCTTTGTTTATTGAAATGTTCTGTCTTTTAAATGGCATAGGAAGAAAAATGAAGTAACTGCTTTACATTCATGCCTCAACTTCCAGCAAGACCCAATGGCTGTGGAAACATCATATGAGGGCTTATAAATATTAGCTTTACCTTGAGAGTCAGTTAAGAGGCATCTGCCATGTATTTACACTCCCACCGTCTGCAAGCCTTCACAATGTCCAGAGGAGACGTCTCCAAGCCAGCCAGTCAGCATCCGTGGACTCTCTGCAGTCATCCCTGGACACGTGACATGGCGGCAGAGCACCCCTCCACCATGTGACGGAATTCATGTACTGAACCAGTGGTGCACAAAGTGATCTGAGAGCCTGGCCCTCCTCCAGCATCTGCCAACCCTCTTCGAAGATCCCATGGCCATTTTTTCCCATCCCTACTCCACCTAGATGTTAATTATAATATTTTGGAAATGTCTTACCCTGTGTAGGCTGCCAAAGAGTGGAGCATGAATAAGGACAGTCTGTGAAACAGGTGGCCTTCTCATGTCCCTCCCAGTGTTTTCCATCACCCTGTCAATCACCTGCTCTTTATTTAAAGTTCAAGGGTCAAAAAGGAAAAGCATAAGGGTAGAGTCATAAAGCACGTTTCCCAAGAAAGCAACAAGGCATTCCATAGTCTAAGATAGTCCATATTATGAATATCTTAGAATATGGTTCTACTGGTTATTAACTGAATCCTGAACTTTACTAAGTGACCTCTTAAGCTAAAGTTTCAAATCTCACATAGCTAAGTCCCTTCCTATAGAACAAGAAAGAATGTGTGTGTGTGCCGGGGTGGGGGCTGGGGTGGGGGTACCTAAAACAGCTAAGAGTTTTTATATCCCTCTCCAAAAAATAAATCTGTATGTGGCATTCAGAAGAATCTGATGTTACTATAGAAATGCATTTCCTATCTATCAGAGGCATCTGCTACTATCTCTTCTAAACACTACTTTCTTGCCATTGTTAGTATCTTTTCAAGCCTCTTGCATAATTCCCTAAAAATGTACCATGATGTCTGAGGACACACCAGAATATAGTGAACGTCAGACTCAACACTTTAAACACAGGCTCAACACTTAAAATACATGTGCATGTACAATTTTATTCTGAGATTTCACCTTCTCCCAAGTAAGCAGGAGATTTCTTTTCTCTGACCTGACAATCAATGGTCTTTCAACAACAAGTCACCAGCTGGACAAGAACCCCTACTAGAGGCTTTGGAGAAAAAGTTTTTTTCCAAGCACACTGGAAATAATTTGAGGTGCTTCACGGGGACTTCCTGATTCAGACACAAGTAGCATAACTCATTAGCAATAATGGAAATGGCTGATTAGTGTTGAGTACACATAAGGCTGGACGCTGACTCTACGTGGTAATTAGAGCATCCAGACACATCAAGATTTATAACAAAATGTGTCTTGTTGTCTCTAAGATGCATGGCTCCCCGATCCAAAGAACAAAGCCTTCTCTTCTAATTGACAGAAAGGTCACTGGGAAGAATGCATAATACAGAGGACGGTGCCATGTCCAAGGTATTCCAGCATTTCATTAACACGTTGAAACACAGATCAGGCGTTGTGCTCGGCTTTATTGCCATCGAGATGGAGAATACTGCACCAAAAGCCCAAGGGGGCTACATAATTCTTTAAAAATGATGATGATCCAAGGGTAAGCCCCAGAGAGGCATTCTCTGTCTTTGGCCAGCTGGAGCGCGCATTATTTTCAGGAAGAATTAAGTAAGGAATGCAAATACCGCCTCATTCCTTGCCTGGAATATCCTGGGATGCCACTTAACCTGTGCTCCTGTACATGTGGGCTTTGCATACAACTGAGACCTGTGACTTAGCAATTTAAAAAGACTCTGAGTGCTGTTCATATTGAAATGGGAACCCGGGAGTTAGGTCTTTTCCGTAAGACTCCTGCTAAAGCTAGATTGATATCCTGGGGTTTTCTCTTCACACCAAGCCCAGAGCTCCAGGTCTGCTAAACGGAGCGGCTGTTTTCATCAGTTCCTCCCCGTCGCCTACCCTCAATCCCAAAGTCTGCCCTTCCCCAGCAATTTGCAGTTCTCTGAGAGAACGGCAGCGCGGAAGAGAGACCCGGCTGCCCGCGCTTTCCTAGGGGAGTTCAGCGCAGTTTCCCACTCTTTTCCTCCTCCTCAGCAACTTTTCTCCAAGTACCAGAGGGAGGCTTCGCCCCCTCCGAGGCAGCCGCGGCGGCACCGGGGACTTGTACAGGGACCTTGGCAGAGGAAAGGGGCCGAGATCTGACCCACGTCCATCCCCCTTACCCTCTCCGGTCCCCAGCGGGATCCCTGCAGCGTGGGGAGCCAGGGAGCTCTCTTTGGGGAAAAGCTTCTCCACCTGGGAGAAGCAAATCAAACATTTATCAGGCGTTCGCGAGGGGGACGCGGAAACAGCCTCGGCAGCACCTGCGAGAAGTCCCAGCCAGGTGGCCGTGCTCTGGTCGGGGGACTGAGAGGCCCTGGGACCAAATTCCCGTCAGCTCTGGGGACCTGTTGCTGTTAAACTTGTCCTGAGCTCCCGCTGCCCGGCTCTGCGCTCCCGGCCTCTCCCCCACCGCCCAGCAGCCTCTCCCAGAGGCCAGGACGGAAACGGGAAGGGGAGGCGTTAGAAGAAGTTTCAGACCCGGATACGTTTGGGAAGGCAGTGCCTAAATGATCCCCAACATCCCAATCAGACGAGCTGAGCCCGAGCAGGCAGCCCGGGTCCGAGCTGCCCGGAGACCGCCCCTTCCCCTGAACCCTGCACCCCCGGAGTCTGACCTGATCGAAGTAAATGATGCGAGTCTTGTTGCTCATCTCGGACGGCTCGTGGTTGGTGCTGCGCACGGCCGAGAAGGCCACCTTGGAATTGGCCGCCCGGACTGAAATCCCCAGAGGCGAGGAAGACGAGCCCTTGGAGTCCGTGGCCGGGTTCGAGTCGCACACCACCAGGCACTTGCCCTCCAGCACTATGGGCTCGGTGTCGTTCTGCGCCCAGACGGGCAGCCCTGGCAACGTGAGGGCCAGCACCACGGACAGCACCACGGACTGCGCCCGGCGCCTGGCGCCCATGGTGAGCTGCGGGGGCATCCGCGGCCGGCTGGCGCTCCTGTTCGCCCGCGTCGCCTCCTCGCCCCGGACCCCGGAGCTCAGGCGGATGCCGGCAGCGAGATGGGCAGCGCTGCAGGCACGGCGGCGGCGGTGCGCGCACTTCCACCGATTCTGTGGTTTGAAGTCCAAGTCTCCCCTCGCTCTCTCGCTGGCTCTGCTACCTTTGTCCTTCAAGGAGTTCATGCAGAACCCCTACCGCACCCTCCTCCGCCCGACAATCAGCCCTCTCTGGGGCCACTGCACCCACACTTATTCCTAAACATCTAAAAGTCACTAAACCCTCACATGCACACCTAACAGGAAAAAATAAATTCTCACCCCAAACCCAATCCCCCCGCCCAGGTGAATCACGGGGCAGGAAGCAGAGCGGACGCGAAGAGAAGCCACACGGGCGGGTGCTCAGCGATGCGGGCGGCGGTCCTGGCCGAGTCTGGCTGGCGGCAGAGACGGATCACAGAGGCCGGTGTTTCCCCGACTGCGAAGAACGCGAGGCTGTGTTCCAGAGCAGGACGCCGGCGACTCCCACTTTCCCTTGGTCAAAAATCCCCCAAACCTGAACGTCGCTCGGATCTAAAAGCGGCTAGCCGGGTCCCGACACAGGAGTCACAGATCCGCAGGCTCAGTTCCAGGACGTAGGGCGCTGGCGGCTCGGCAGGCGGGGTCCCCTCCTGCTCTGCAGCGCGCCCGGGTCCCTGCGCACAACTTTCTCCTCCTCGCGCAGCCGGGAAGCGCAAGCGGGCACACGCGCGCTATTTATAGAAGCGCGGCCGCCAGCGGGGTTGGCTCACTGCTCGACCCGCTGGCACCCGGGAAAGGGGGAGAAGGTCCGGCGACTCCAACTCAGCCGCTCCCTCCTGGGCTTTCACGCACCCGGAGAAAGCGGGGCGCACAGCGCTGCTGGCTGGCGAGGTCCGAGGCCACTCAGCCTCCCCGGGCGCGCGCAGCGCCGCGCTTGACCGGCTTGGCGCCTCCTTGTCCCCTCCTGGGTCTGGGCTGCGGCTCCCCTTTCCCCTCCCCCGCGCAGAACTTCGCCGCCAAGCGCCCTCCAAGCGGATGCAAGGGCGGAGGCGACCCAGCGTGGCGTGCTGCCCGTGACCTGTGGACCCGCCGGAGTCCTGACCGCGCCTCTCCCGGAGGCCGCCCCACGGGGCCCTCGGGCCTGGCGAGCTCAGGGAAGCCTTGGGACGGATCGGAGGCAGTGGGGCCGCTAGGAGGAGGTGTCTGAAGCCTTCCGCTTGGATAAGATGAGCGTCAGGAACCGCAGGGGCGCGCCTTTCCTCCTACTGGGCAAATCCACCCCAGGCAAGGCCAGAAAAAACAGTGAAGAGACAGTGAACTCAGCAACAATGAGTCCTCTGAAACCGTACCCCCTAAAAACGCCACCTCTCGAAGTGCCACCCTCTTCCCTGTGCCACCCCACTCCCATCTTGGCCTCTGTTTGACAAGTGTATCATCCACTGCTACCGTGGGGGCGGAGAGAGGGGGCTTGTCTCTGCCTCTAATCTCTGTGTGAACTTGACTAAGTCACCTACCCCCTCTGAGCGGTCTGGACACCGCTAAGGTCCCCATCAGCTCTGCAGTTCTATTTGGGGGTCATGTCACTCCCTTGCCAAATTCCTTCTAGACTTCCAGCTACCAGAGGGCAGACACTGTATCTTTAATGCACACAGCATCCGCATCAGCCAGCTCCAGCCTGGCGCAGAGTAGAAGCTCATGGAAATGTATTCAGTAAGTATAAATTGGAGGGATGTTTGTGAGTATGTGTCTCTGGGTGCACGGCTCCCGGTCCTTACTGAATGGAGGGCATCCTCTGTACCAGGGCATTCCAGACCCTCCACCAGAAAAGCCAGGCCTGTCTCCAGTCTTCTCCCCTCCTAAGACCCTTCAGGCAGAGCCGGGTATTGAAGCACAAACACCAGATGCAGTTCCAATGGTTACAGTCGGAGACATTCCTACTGGTTGGTAAACCCCCCAACCTCCCTATAATCCAGCAATTAAAGAGGCGATGCCTGACACCAAAGGGGCTCCGGCCTCATCCCAGTGGGGCCAACCTCAGTTTTGATTGATAGGCGGTGTGCCACACTATATTTTACAACGTTGACTGCCACTCCAGCCTCCAGGTCATCTAGGCTGCCACCAGACAGAGTGAGCCGGTGACTTCTGGAGATGGCGGCCATTTCCCCAGCAGCAACGCCCCACCCTAAGCCCAGCATAGCTGTTCCCGTTTTCTCATAGGGGAAATAAAATACCATATACTCCCTGTAAGTATGATAAGTAAAATTCTTTCAGAAATTCTATTTGGAGTTTGTAATATTTAGTCCACCCAAGAGTCCCTGGGTGATGCAAATGGTTAATGCAATCGGCTGTTAACTGAAAGGCCGGCAGTTGTCATGGATTGAATTATGTCCCCCCAAAATATCTGTCCACTTGGCTGGGTCATGATTCCTGGTATTGTATGATTATATAATCTGATGTGATTTCCTTATGTGTTGTAAACTCTATCACTATGATGAGGTTATATGTGATTTCCTTATGTGTTATAAATTCTATCACTGTGATGAGATTATACTGACGAGATTTACAAGATTAGGTAGTGTCTTATCCGATCTCTTTTGAGATAGAAAAGAGAGAAACAAGCAGAGACACATGGGAACCTCATACCTCCAAGAAAGCAGTGCTGGGAGCAGAGCGCATCCTTTGGACCTGAGGTTCCTGTGCTGAGATGCTCCCAGACCGAGGAAAGACTGATGCATCACAAGGACCTTCTTCCAGAGCTGACAGAGAAGAGAAAGGCTTCCCCTGAGCTGACACCCTGAATTTGGACTTGTAGCCTACTGGACTGCGAGAGAATAAATTTCTCTTTGTTAAAGCCATCCACTTGTGGTATCTCTGTTAGAGCAGCACTAGATGAGTAAGACAGCAGTTCAAGTCCACCAGGAAGCTCTTCGGAAGAAAAGCTTGGCAATCTACTTCTGAAAAATCAGCCATTGACGACCCTATGGAGCACACATGGGGTCGCCATGAGTTGGGGTCGCCATGAGTCAAGGTTGGCTGGATGGCAACTGCAATTGGAACTGGAATAGTTACTGCAAATAGAAGCCCAATGACACACAAAGGGGATTTATTGGATGGACACTGTATCTCCATATCTCACAGAGTCAACAGACAGAGCTGAAAGCAGAGCTAAGCTTCTGGGATGGAATAAAATCTGTGGGGAACCCTAAGTGTCGCTTCCACCGCCTTCCTCTTCTTCCTCTTCCATTCTCTCTCGCTCATCCACATCTGCATTATTCTTTTGTTTGTGACAATCTAGATTTCTCTGAGGCCCACACAATGATGGCAAATGGCAATAAATGCTCCCAAGTTTTACACACAGCTCCCAGAGAGTGTTTGAAAATGAGTCTCCAGGGAGGAGCCTCATTGCCCCATCTGGCATCACATGTCCACCCCTAGGTCAGCCACCACGCCTGGAGGAGCAGAAATATGCTGCGCACATGTGGCTGATTCCCCTGCAGCCAGGTGTATGGAAAATTGGGTCAGGGCGGGAAGAGGCGGAAATTCCTAGAAAGGTAGTGCAAACAATATGTTAAAAAAAAAAAAAAGAAAAGAGAAGAAAAGATTTGCCTTGGAGTTGATTCCGACTCATGGCGAACCCATGAGTTACAGAGTACAACTGTGCTCCACAGGGTTTTCTTGGCTGTAATCTTTATAGAAGCAGATCGTCAGGGCTTTTCCCATGGTACCACTGGGTGAGTTAGAACCACCAGCCTTTGGGTTAGTAGCCCATTACAAACCACGTATGCTACCTAGGAGAAAAAGAGCAAGATACAGGTTAATTTGTATTATATGATTTAATGCTAATACTCTGTAAATGCATATAGATTTGTATATGTTTGAATAGGCAGAGGAAAAAATATGAGAAGTTAGAAAGCAAATTGTCAACTCTGGAGGGATGGGGTAGAAAGAGAGAAGCATTATTAATTTTACTTTTTTAAATTGCAATTATAAAAATAATACCCAGTATGTAGCTTGTTGTGGGAATTGAACAGGGAAATTTACTAAAATTTAGATGTTTCTTTGTTATTTGAATTGTTACAGCAATTGTATATTACACTGTGATTCACATTTAAAATCAATTATAAAAATGAAGGAAAAGGGTACTGGGAAGACCATCCAATAGGAATCCACTACATTAACTTTTTTCATAATTTAAACTTAATTAAAGTTTGTAGAGAAAAGGAACCAGCGTTCTTTCTCGTAAGCGGCACCAGTTGAATAGCGATTTCCCTTCTTTTGTTATAGTCATCCAACTCTAAAAAATCATTTCATTCGAAGGTTAGCAAGATGCCCAGACATACAGAGCTTTACAGGATACATTTAAGAAAAAAAAAAAAATCCATTGCAACTGGTAAAGCTCATAAATAGTATCAAATCTTCAGATTACCTTTCAGATTTAATCCAGCCTTTTATACACCTAGAAATCCCTGGGTGGTGCAAAACGGTTAATGCCCTCAGCTACTAACTGAAAGGTTGGAGGCTCAAGTCCACCTAAAAGCACATAGGAAGAAAGACCTGGTGATCAACTTCCAAAAAAGCAGCCATTGAAAGCATTATGCTGAATGAAGTAAGTCAATCACAAAAGGACAAATACTGTATAATCTCACTTATATGAAATAGCTAGAAGAGGCAAATAGAGAGAGCAAAGTTTATTAGTGGCTTCCAAGGGCAAGAGGAAGCGGGGAGGAGGGAAGCGTGGTTTAGGAAGCATTGAGTTTCTGTTTATAGTGATGGAAAACTTGGCAATGAATATTGGTGATGGCTGCATACCACGATTGATGTAACTAGTGTCACTGAGTTGTACACATGGAGAACATTGAACTGGCAAATGTTGTGCTATATATATTTGTACCGCTATAGAGCACAGTTCTACTCTGACACACATAGGGTCACCATGAATCAGA